CTCAACATTTTTTGGAAAAACACCAAAGCGATACCAGAGTATGATGAGATGATTACCCGCTCAATTGAGACACACCCAAAATTGAGTCAATGGGCTGAGAGGGTCGAAGTTGCGTGAGTAACGAAGATTGCTGCAAAACAAGTATCTTGCTTATCATTTTGCTAGGGGCGACGAACATGACTCTGAAGCAGACCCTGACCGGCGCGTATCGGGGCAGATATTCAACAAGGAGGGAATGCGGGTTACCTCGGGGCATTGGTATAAAGACGGGCGGGTGGTGTATTCGAGGAGCAGCTTTAATAAATGATTTGACTGGCCATGAAGAGGGGCCGGTAACGTATAGCGAAGTATTATTCTATCTAATTAGTTGGTTGGACGATTGGATACTTCAACAAGGCGTGTAAAACAAATCACATGACAAGTTGCCTGTTGGCCCGTGCATGCTTCACATCGCGCTTATAAACCCGCCTCCCCCCTGTTTTCAACACGACCAGCAACGGTCAACGCCAAAGTGGGCAGCGATTCATTCATCTCTTCGTGGCCATGTATCTTAGAAGGTACCTTAGAAGAATTTTTCAGTCTGTTCCCTCCAAACCCTCCCCCCTCCCGATAAAGTTACTCCCTACGGCAGATCTGGTTGAGGAAGAGCACACACCCCATTATAAGCCTCAGCACTTTTATCCTGTACGTCTTTATGAGATACTCAACAACCGATATCAAATCGTCACCAAAATAGGTTGGGGAACAAGTTCGACAGTATGGCTAGCACGCGATCTCCACCAGTATGTGAAAAATATCTGATAACATATTCAAGCCTTGTCTCACTATGTAATAGATGGCGATGGCTTCCGCCCCAATATGTGGCCATCAAAGTTAACGCAAGCAATTATGCATCTCAAGAGTCTGCGGAGAAGGAGTTGCGCATTACTGAGCATATAACTAAAGCAAATCCCCAGCATCCAGGCCGCAACTTTGTCGCCGTCCTGTTAGACTCGTTTCGTGTTGCTAGTCCGGGCGGCACTCATATTTGCATGGTCTTTGATGCGCTTTGTGAACCCCTATGGATGCTGAAACGTCGTTTCGAAGGAAATATCATTCCCCTCGACGTCTTGAAACCGGTATCTAAACTTATACTAGAAGGACTACGGTACCTTCACACCGAATGCCACGTTATTCATACAGGTAACTAGTCATTCAACCAATCCACTTCTAAGATCGGCTACAGCTAACGGAAAAACAAGATCTAAAGTCTGATAACATCTTATTGTCCCTACGTAACCCATCTATCCTGAATTCGGTCGCACAGGATGAGATGAACAACCCCTCTCCACGGAAACAACTAGACGGTCGGGACATATACTTATCCCGAAATTACTGGGGACTGTCGCCCGATGAACTAGGTAGATCAGTAATAACTGACTTTGGGCTTGCCGTACGCGGTGACGGCCCTCCGAATAGCCACCCCATCCAGCCAGAGGGATATCGGGCCCCAGAAGTTTGTCTCGGGGGTCATTGGAGCTATAGTGCTGACATTTGGAACTTGGGAGTTATGGTAAAGTCCTCATTATCATAATTCTGATCACCACTAATGGTCTATTAGCTTTGGGACCTGTTCTATGGCCATGGGCCCTTCGACACACCACCGGACTCGTGCGGCTCAGGCTCTACAGACGAAGCCCATCTGGGCCAGATAATTTCTCTCCTGGGGCCTCCTCCACTTGATCTTCTCAACCGAGGAGAAGAAACATATCGGTATTTTGACGCCAAAGGTATGCTACTTATGTCCTAGCTAGACGCAGCTAACTGATTTGAAGGACAATTCAAAACCCCCGAGCTTATTAGAAAAAAGGATCTGGTCTCTATGGCTAAAGAAATTGACGGTAACGACGAAATGCCTCTGTTTGTAGACCTTATTTCTAGAACGCTACGCTGGAGGCCCGAGGACCGGACTACGGCGGAGGACCTGCTTTCACATCCGTGGCTTACGTAAAAGAGACCTGCGAATGGGTAAAGGGGGTAGGCGTTATCTGTATAGTAAATAGATATCTCTTCGCTTAAGAAACCTGACTGTTCAGGCTTTCCTTTTTGAACCACGATCCGATATATCAAACGGCCATACGCGAGAGAGCACCAGCTCTATTTACTCCTTCCCATAGATGGACTTATTAGCACCTTACTTTGTACAAATCACATTCAATATCGTCGAAGTGTATATGAGAAATCAAATCCAGCAGCTACACCGCAAACGCAGCAACATTCTTGGGATGCCCTACACAGAATTTGTTAAAAAGATATTGGCACAACGCATGAAACTGGTACATACAATAGCAGACGGCATTGTTCAACCAAGCTGATCTTTCGCTTGCTTTGTCGCACCCTCCCAAAACTTCCGCGCGGCTTCCTCCTGCGACTCAACGGGGGTATTCTCGTCGATGGAGCCGGAGACCTTTGCGATTCAACATAAGAGCCAGCGATGAATACTGTAGCCAGATTGCCGTCTAGGCATTATCCTTCATAGTATGCGCCATTTTATCTATTGGGCGTAATTTTCTAGAAAGGCAGTGCAAGTAAAACGCTTGGATAGCGACCTGTAAAATAAAAAGAAGATGATTCGATGGTACGTCCTGGGCTGGTACACTCGTCATTGGTCATTGCGCGGTAAAATTAGGGCACATATCTGGCTGACTGGCTATGAAGTGCCATATCTTGCTTCATATCTTTTTCGAGCAATTACGTATTCAGGAAAAGGCATCTATGACAGTGAGCCTACTGTGGCAGCGCAGTGTACTCGAGAGCGCTATGGAACGCTACCCTTGATGGCTGTCCAAACAGTCACCTTGTGGATGCATGGAGGAGTCTGGTATTAAAGGGTGCGGATGTACACCGGAAGCTAGACTAAATAACAAACTAACTTAACTACGTAGTTAATGTCGGTTGACTTGGTCATTGCCCTAAGCAGATATCCTATCGATTCAACGGAATGTAGGTATATGCTCGGTGGGTAAAAGTGAAGTGTCATTTCTAAAGTACAATCTGCCTAGCTATTTATAGTTCCACTTGTTTACACCTATGCATTCCTGATCCCTTGGTATGCCATTTGGAATGGTAGGCCAAGTCTAGGCCAAGCAAGGTGCTTTGCGGTATGTGGATTAGGTCAGGATACTCCACCTCTCTGGTCAGTTTGACAATATTGTTCCAACAGTTAACTAACGTATTTCACTACCGAGCGTGACACACCACCGAGCGTGACACCTCTGTATTCCATATAAAATGGCACCTTTTTATACTCTAATATCTCAACAACAAGTAGGTTTAGATTTATTTCTATTTTGTCATTTTCAATTTTTAATTTTTGGGTGTTTTTGGTAGCTTTTTTTATATTCAACTAACATGTACATAAAATGAGGATCTGAGGATAAGTTCGTGGTTTTACTACTATTCCTGGCGCTGTCTCTGTATCTAGTTCTCAAAGGAGTACTTAAGGAGTGATCCCATGATGAATATTTAACCTAAAGCATCCTGTCGCAAGTTATATTGATAATATTAACGATGAAAATTTCTATTTTTATATTCTTATTGCTCGTGGTAGTACCCTTCGGTCTTTTCCTCCTTTTCTCTCTCCTGCATCATTTTTAAGGTACTTTCCTGATCTCGAATCAGTGAGATCTCCTCTCTATTAGCATGTCGAGTAAAGTTTGCTTTACACACCTTCCAGATCATTGATTTACTGGGAAAAGAAAACTTTGACTCTCTATAAAGGGGGGCTCGTTTAAAGAATAGCCTCACACAAAAAGTGGTATGGAAACACTTATCACCTAGAGGACATTATCTAATGATCTATAGTATGGAATGTGAACGGCAGGAGGTTTTCACAAGATGCCACAGCCTAAAACGTATCAGAGGGCTGGAGATGTCTCGAAAAATAGTTTAGTAAGAAGGAAGTCTTGTATGCTTCTTAGAAGATCTTGTTGTGTATGTAAGAAGGAGACTGGAGTGATTTGTGGAAACGTCTGTCGTGGTGCATGTGGTCATGAGAGATATCCAGAGTGCTTAGAAATGACAAGAAAGCAATCTTAGTCAGGGCATAATGCCATAATACTCAACCAAAGACGTGCAACCATTGATCAGCAAAGCCCAGCCCCAATATCTGGCGTGGTACCCAGCTGAAGGAACGGGATCCTTCTATCATAATTCTTCGTAGTCTTGTTGCAATAGAGATTTCACGGAAAAGAGACGGAGATTGCTACAGCCTGCTGCGGTGGGGAACGTACATGATGAGGCATAATTTGACCCTGCACTAGCGGTCCAGTAAGATAATACTCTCGCAGCATCAGCCTAGTACTGGTCTAGAACACTTTGTATGTCTCTAGTTTGATTAGGATGAGCCTTGGCTGTATCATGGCTGATTCTGCTGCGTGAGACTAACCAGCCTGCGGAGTTACTTGAATCAGGGATAGGAACGAGGTCTAAATGAGTGTATGGACCTACGCTCAGCTAATGAGAAATTATCTCAGGTAACATCACAGTATCTATATAAAGTATATCATTATACGTCTGAATCGCCGCCCGATACATGCATACAACTACGCTGTACAGTAAGTATTCGGTTCCTCGATTTTTTCTCAGCTAGGCCTCCCAATTCAAGTCTTAAAATCGAATATTCTTTTTCTAAATGGAGAATTCGATTTTTGAAAATATACAGTAGGTTCAGCACAAGTAGCTGCATAATAGCAGTTTACTGACAAACTTTCAGAAACCTCATCGAAGCCATCCCGGGCCTAGCGCCTGAAATAGCTGACCACCTTTTGTCTTGTCGATTTTCTGGGAGGGCAGACTATCACATAAACCAGCATTCCTTTCGAGTACTCAATCAGCAATTTTCCAGGACATTCCTTGAAAATACCGATCCATCCATATTCCTCGCCGGTGTTGGGATACGACTTGCAATATCGACGCAGGTAATTGTTTCCACGATGAATTTCCAGAACGCCTACCGCGTAATGGAGGACCTGCATCACACAGTTAGGGGTGCAGATATTTCCGAATTTTCTGTGATGGGAGTCTTAGTGAAGCTTGCCCTACATGCTGTGAAGCAGGAGAATTGTGCCTCGAAAGAGTCTATCGAGTTCACCAAATTGTGCATAGCAAGGTTAGATATACCGGACATGTTTGCTCCTGTCTGTACGGCCACTGAACATATCTGCAACTACGGAGAAAGACGACTTTCCGGCGCGAGCCACGAGGTCGCCTGTGGTTTAGTGCTCCCACGACAAGTCCAAGCAACATTCTTCTTGCAGGACCTGTGTTTCTTGCTAAAAGAGATCCGCAGAGTCTGCCGGATATGCTTTGACAGTAGTCGGTCGGCTCTACAGACCATACTGCTCAGCTATCACGAAACAATCCCAACTTTAATAGGAGAATGGTTAAGCCAGAAGCTCGATCCTATCCAGTTTGGACAAACATACCAGCTATATTCACTTTTGGGACTGTTTTCTATGCTGTTGGGGCATTTGCGAAATGGAAATTTGGATTCTTTCCAATACACGTTTGATATTGCCATACAAAGTGCCGACGATGTGTTAGGCGAAATTAAGGAAGAGCTGGGCACATCTATGCTCTATGGCAAACTCAGTTGGGATGGAGCAACATATGCCTCTGTAACATTTGGCGCGTGCTTGGATGACTTACGAAAGCAACTATTGCATTTGCAAGAACATGCCGGTTAAGTGGATCAGACTTCTAAACTTTTGTGTTGATAATTGCGGTAGTGAATACTATAAGCAACCCTTCATTAAAGCTCCTGGCGGCCAAATACATTTTGTGTTCTTGTGGCGTACCTTCGAAATGTTTCCGTATAGTCTACAGTAGCACAGTTCTTCCTATTCTTGACTGTTGCCGAGGGCAGTGTTTTCGCACGCCAAGAAAGGTCTACTAATTTGGCTGGAAAAACAAAAACTTCAACGCGAATCAAATTTTTGAAATTCCTCAACCACCACAACGGCTACGGCCTCCAGAATCATCCAGTTTGCTATTAACCCCAACCGCTATCGATTGAGCCTAGTTTTATAGGTGATATCTATATGTTTGGGGCAAAACCCTCATGGCTGGCCCTTTCAGGGGTTCCCGAGGCGGCAAGCGCACATAATCAGAATTTTCTCAACTGCGTTTTGAACCTCAATAAAGATGCGCAACAATACCTCTCATTCAATGAATTGAACGGAAAACAGCTCCCCAAACCAGTAGTCGACTTAATACAACAGGTAGCCGACGCCTGCGAATTTTTGTAACGCGAAACCGTGGATATTCCGGTCGCCAACTGCCGTATCGGCCCTGAGCTGGCTAACGTCCGGCAGACCCTCCAGGCCGTCCAAGAACAGACCTACTACACTCAATCGAGTATACAGAAACAATATTACCAGTCCTGGGCCTCTGTGGTCCGCAACGCGCCTCCCCCGGCCCATATGACCTCCTCCCACGGCTCCTCCAGCACCGCCCCGGCCACCCGTCGGAGCTTAGCAAGGACTGCGAGGTCATCGTCAAGCTGCGGGATGCTGGTGCAGTGCGCACCTACCGACGTCTCACGGCCGCGGATATCAAGCAGAGAGCGGAGACAGCGAAACAGAAAGCGTGCGGCCAGACAGGGGCCCTCTCCCTGGCTAAGGCGCGCTTCGTGGCTGCAGTAGTAGAATGATTAATTAAAGACGGCCGAGGTTGTGCGCGGATTGCCAGCTTGCAGGATGGTCTAATAATTTCTTTATAATCACCCTCGGTCAGACATGTTACGAATATAGTTAAGCGCTCGGCATTGGAATAAGTGATATTCCACTAGTGAGGGGCTATATGAGTTGTACACGTGTATCTATCATCTTTCTGTTCCCTAACTAAGTCCACGAGCTCGCTCACTCAGTCAATGTTCACTTAGTTCTCTCTATTCTGTACCAGCTTCCTCTGACCAACCGTAGGTTTCGCTACAAGACAATAGCTACTGATATACGCACTGTCGCTCAAGACCTGCTATCGAAGGGCCGTAAACCGATAATTCAATGGGTTCCAGGACATGCAGGGATAGAGGGAAACGAAAGGGCAGATCAAACAGCAAAACAAGCCGCAACGCGAACACCGGGACCAGGCTGCAGAGAGATCTCACAATTTACCTGCAGAACCCGTACAGAGGCGTTACAGTCGGTCTCGAAATCCCACTGACCTTCTAACACATGATCATTGTTTCCCAGCCCCACTGCCAAGGACTTAGCGTGAGTCGATTATTGAGCAATTTTCAATACCATCCTGTACTGCACAGAATTTTTAAAGCGGCCTCGTTCTAGTTAGCCCGTGATCAATTATATAATTATAGATTGGACACAGAGAGCAGTCACATGACTGATGTACCAGGAAAGTTGGTGAATCCAGGCGTTTTCGCCACTTCTGTCACGGACGGTGACCTGCCTCCGAGGACCTTCCTCGCGATACCCTATAACCTAACTCCCCGATAGGGACTAGCGTCAGAGCTGTCACACATATCGCAACCAGCTCCTGAATAGCTTCATAGCTTAGCTTAGTTTCCTCGTCAAATGCATACCCTACATTCTCACGATTCCCTATCGTCAGTGTAGCCGTTCGTCACAACTTCCCAGAAATATTGGTACCTTGTCACCACCTACGGAAGAGCCGAAGCATCGCGAAAATTCTATTAATATTGCAGAGAACTATATAATGCCCCTTTCTCCCAGACCCTCCTTTTGAAAAGAGAGTTGAAAGATAAGAGAGCTAGAAATTCAATCCAGCGCAGTATAACTTAAATGATTAAGAACGTAATTATGGCAACTCTGCCATTGTTGCATCCGAGTGCGATAGTACCGTCTTTAACTGCTGAACAGCTAGGTTGACAATTTGGAGGGAGCCATAACTCTCTTTGACCCTGAATAGTAATCCACCGATTTGCCTGCAGTAATACCTCTGTCGCTTTTGCAGACGGATTTGATGAGAAGCTTTTGTAGCAGATTCGGATATCGAAAGATCCCAGGTTGGTAATTAGTTGCGGCAGGTGCTTAGAAAACTCAATTCTGGTAACAACACTATCAGTGCTCAAGGTATGTTTGAGAGCGCCGGTGGTGGGATCCTACAGCTTGACGGTGTTATCATAAGAGCCCGATGCGAGAAGCTGGCTGTCGCCTGAGAAGGCGACCGACCAAACCGAGCTAGAATGGCCCTCGAGGGTATGCTTGAGAGCGCCCGTGACAGGATCCCACAGCTTAACGGTTTTATCATAAGAGCCCGATACGAGAAGCTGGCTGTCGCCTGAGAAGGCGACCGACTTAACCGAACTAGAATGGCCCTCGAGGGTATACTTGAGAGTGCCCGTAGCGGGATCCCACAGCTTAATGGTATTATCATAAGAGCCCGATGCGAGAAGCTGGCTATCGCCTGAGAAGGCGACCGACCGAACCCAGTCAGAATGACCCTCGAGCGTTTGCATTTCTGGATTCCAATACTCTTCCACTTTTGGGCCTTTGTATAACCAAGCAGGGAGTTCTTTTTTAAAGTTCTCTCTGATCAACGCTTTATGTGGTGCGAAAATCAGGCCAGCGCTGTACAGCTGCAGTGGTGCCGTATCAAGAATTTGTACAAATTTTAGGATAAATCTGCGAGCATCTCCGAGGAAAACATATATCTCATTACTGGGTATATCCTAGATTTTTCACTAGTGTTAGTGGGTCGGCTGCCACAAGCTAGTTTGATACTCACCTTTGTCAGCTGGAGCAATGAATTCACTGCAATTATAGCCTCGGGTATCATCCCCAAAATGCTCATTGACTCCAGCCAATGAAGAAAGTGCTCTTTCAGAAAAGGGAAGACTTGGTCAAGGCTCTTTGCTGGCGCCGAGCTCTGAAGGAGATGGTAAACCCAATAGCGACAGGCGTACTGGAGGGCAGGCGGAAGAAACCTTGCCATAGCATCAGGGTCTATCTCTGTTCGGCTGGTCCCATGGTTTGGCAGATCGCAAATATTCTTTCTGAGGTAACGGCCCATGACAGCAAGACATTGACAGGCTATGAGCTCGTGCTTCTCCTTTTTATCCACCCAGAATCGAGACATGGCCTCTTGGTCTTTTGTAAGATCATCCACCAGATAATCATGGAAGGACAAATGCAGGGTCCGTATAGGTAGTTTTGAATCGCTAGGTATAGACAGGACTGAATAGAATAAGTCCAGATAAATATTGATATAGCGATCCGGTATTTCAAGCAGCTCCGCAAGAGAGCTCAATGAGAGCGGATTGGCAAGAAAAATGATTACACCAACGATTCTCTGAAACTTTTCAATCAGCTTATTCCTGTCCGTAGCGTCCTTGACAAGGAGTTAGTTTAGAACCGGTCGGTATATGTCATCCATCTTTGATCCTGTAAAATTAGTAGAAAACTCCCGAAACCGCTCATCCGGGTCAAAACGCCTATCTGCCACGAAACGACATACCGTGGCAGCAAAGATAAAGAGCGGACAAGCCATCATTGCTAAGGCTTCGATTCTTTTCTCTCCGGGCCAGCCAGAAGGAAGTCCATTTTGGCGCTTCTGGCTTATTGTAATAAATTTCTCTCTGAGGTATAGAGTGATATCACGCTTTATCACATTTTCATCCAAGTTCTGCAGAATGGTATTCTGGTAGCCACTCTTATCGATCTGATTAAACCCAAAACGGATAGGTGACTCTGGCCGACTTGTTAAGAAGAATCGGATTGCCATCTTTGTTGCTGTCTCGACCTTGGGTAAAAGGTCGAGAATGATCTCTACGTCTTCTTCCCGTTCGCACTCATCTAGGGCATCGATTACAACAACAGTAGAATTCATAGCTTTACCGTGATATACAGCTAGTAATGGCTGTAACATGAGCTTATTAAACTGCTCTCGAAGCGAACTTCCCGGGATCGAAGGATCATCTTCAATAGCTTTTCGGATTCCGACAATCATTTGAGGAATGTAGACTGCTAACTGCTTCACAATTGTCGAAAAAAACTTTGCAGCTGAGCCCCGGTCTCCCTCGCCCCTTTTAAAAAAGAAACTTGCCCCGAGGATGCCATCCTCTTTAAACGATCGAGCTACCGTTCTCGCAATGGTAGACTTTCCAGTGCCTGCCATTCCGCTCAGCCAGAATATGTGTTTGTCACTGGGCCTCTTATTGGACTTCCCCCAGTCCTGCACCTGCTGAAGCAATTCTGTTCGTGTTCCAGGAAGGCATTCATTCTCATACTGGTCCTCAAACGAATCAAAAAATGCACCCTTAGCGAAGGGGAGATTTAACATATCAACTGCATTGCGCATTTTTTGGATATCCACTATCACTTCATCGAGACGAGTCAGAATTTCCTCTGCATCCTGTTTTCGGCGTAGATATTGGTCCAGGACCAGCCAGTGATGCAGGTAGGACTCCTCCTCCTTGATCGAGGTTTTGAGCTGCGTGAGTGGCTGGCTTGTTATAGCCGTTATACTCTCCACGATATTTTTTCCCTTGTTAAACTGTTGAACTCTCCGTACTTCGGCAGAGTATCGCAATATTGCCACATACACCCGGACGATAGATCGTTGTTTTTCGACATTCACTATAACAAGATCTTCACCCTCATAAAACTGTTCTTCGATGAACGCACAACGAGTCAGCAAATCCGCCAGGTATCCCGACGAGTCAAATAGAGCCCCCTGGAGGTCTGCGTGATTCTTAGCCATCTAAGTTATTAGCTGATTGTCTGGCTTCGTTAGTGCAAGGACCGTACCGTTAATCCAAGAGAGACTATCGCCCAAGCACTGGAAGCGTACCCGGTCGGATCAAATTTTACAGTGTTACTGATAACATCTTGAAAGGACAGCGCCGAGTTTAATATTTTATGGGCTGTGACCCGAAAGCCATTCTTTTCCCCTTTCTCCCTGTACTGCGCCTCTGTCGCCTTAACTATTCCGTCTAGTATCTCTTTCGTTCTTGCACCGTCAGCGTCCTGAGGCTTGATTGCAGTCGACGGGAGAAGTGCTGCTAGAGTGTTCCGATCGCTCTCTGTTAACTCATCGTGCGCCATCTGCCAAAAATCCTTTACATCGTGGTCGCTAGTTTCGAGAATATCATTTTTCGGATTGGCAGGGCCATTCTGTACGTCTGGATCCGCGGTAACGTTTGAAATACTTGGTTTTAGGGCAGTGAAACGCGTATCTTTGTCTCTTTTCCGCCCCTTAAAGACAGTCTTTAAGGATCTCAACAAGCCATGCGTCTTTTTATGGATAGAATCAGCAGGAGTATCCATAGCTAAACCGGTATAATTGTTTCGTAATGAGACTGGGTCGCAGGGACGCGTAGGGAAGTTCACCGGAAAAATGAGTTAGACAGCAAGAGGGGAAAGGGTTAGCTGATCTGACTGTTTTCGGAAAAACTATTGGAAGTGAGGACAGGGGAGTGGTCTGCGCGAGCTATTGGCTACAGAGGCCGGTTTTGATACGCCATGCTTGTTTACTTTTTCTGACTGACATTCGTGGGTCATGGCTCCTTAGGAACTTGAATGAACACCCGACGGTAAAACCCAGTCGAAATCGATGCATAAAAAATGAAAATTTTTACACCTGACTGTTGGTGCGGCTCCCTTAGAGCTCAAGTTTGAGATGAGGGGAGGTGGTCTACCTACAGTAAACTTTCACCTCTGGTTACTGTACTAGCGTCCACGTCTTCGCCAGGATTAGGCTCGGGGCGGAAAAGTCTAGTCTCCGGGGAGGGGTCACCGACAACATCGTCCAAACAGAGCGAGCCACGATCGAGGTTCAGATCTGGCTGGCAGATTGTTGCACGTGACATGACGTAATCCAACTGAAGTGGGAAAACTCAGGGGGATGGAGGAGTTCGATCGGTCCGAGCTGTACGAGGCCTAGGCCATAAGGAGAATGCAAATGAATGGAGTAATACTCTATCTAAAAACGTAGCCTAGAGTACAGAGATACTTGAGTGCTTAGGTGTTGAAGAGGATCGTGGCCTCTGCAAAATATGAGCCTCGGACGGATTAACGTTGTTCCCGACCTCCGAGCTAATTATACCTCATCACCAACCTCCGGAGTCATTATTGGGCCGTGGTGATGATCACGAGCTTCGTTCCGCAAACATCACATAGCAGGTTGCGCTCCCTACAACAGAGCTTCATTCCATATTAATCGAAGATGCCGGCAAATCTGAAAGCCCCGCAACTCGAACAGATTCAGCATATGATCGAGAACGGGTCATCAAAGAGAGCTGAGATCGCCTTTGCCGCTGGTTGTAGCAAGCAAGTTGTAACATATATCCGTCAGAACCTGCAGACATTTGGCAATGTCAGAGCCCCCCGGAACGGCGTCGGACACCCTTGAAGTATCACTCCATCGATGCTTGAAACTGTGTTAGAACGCTTGAAGGAAAAACCAACTCTATACTTGGATAAATTAGTGATTATTATATACGATAATTTCGGAAAACACGTAACCAAACAGAGTCTAAGCAGGACACTTGCCTCTATTGAATGGTCGAACAAGGCAGCTCGGCAAAGAGCTAAAGAACAAAACGCGGATCTCTGAGACTTTTACCTGCATAGTCTATCCCCTTATTCGTCATACCAGCTGGTTTACGTAGATGAGTCAGGCTGTAATAAGAGGGTAGGGTTTCGGCGAACTGGCTGGTCCCCTCTTGGTATAACACCGATTCAGATCTCTAAATTCTACCGTAATTAACGTTATCAGATACTGCCTGCTTATTCTCAGAAGGGTATTCTCTTATCTCGAGTCTTTCAAGGCGCAACTGATACCAGTATGTTTGAGGATTTTATCGAGCAGCTTTTCCAACACTGCAACTGATGGCCGGAATCGAGATCCGTAATTATTATGGATAATGTATCCTTCTACCGTACAGAGCGGGTTAAACAGATGTGTCTAAATGCGGGAGTTAAACTGTTTTACCTGATACCCTACTCTCCAGATCTTAACCCTATTGAGGAGTTCTTCGCTGAACTCAAACAATTCATCAAGCGGAGGTGGAATGAGTACGAAAAAAAATCCAGGTCAAGGATTTGACGCTTTTCTCGAGTGGTGTGTTGGAGTTGTTGGTTCAAGGGTGCAGAGTGCTGAAGGCCATTTTCGGCATGCAGGTATGCTGATAGATGATTATATATAGCATTCCTCAGCCGTACCACACATACAGGAAGATAGACTATGGAGAGTGACTAAAGGTAACCCGGTTATCTATTATATCAATCTGACTCCCTACCATCTACAGAATAATAAAAGTTGTCTGCCCAGTATCTAATATCCCTAACGAATCGACGAGCAATACCCCATTTTACTCCCCGATTCTTGAAGTATTCGGGATCATTTAATTCGTCGATCTGGTCTAAGTCTAACCCATCACCTAGAGCCACGTTACACGCTTTGCGAAATTCATCCTTCCACGACTCATTCTCAACTTGTGACTGTTGCCAGTCACAGTAGGCCTGGACATTGGCGTCACGAAAACCTGCTAATTTAAGTCGCGAGGCCTTGGTTACACAAATGGTCACGTTTTCCGAGGTCGGTGGCGATGATAACATACCCTGCTGCGTGACCTGTGCGGGAAACACGTTTGTGATAGTAATCGGTAGATAGGTAGACTCTGATGTAAGGCGACTACAACCTTTTTGCCCTTCAAGCCGTCGCCTCTCAGCCTTGTAGATCTGTTCACGAATCATGCCAGGCACGTCTTCATGGGACTCTAATCTCTTCCCACTCTTCACATATTTGACCAGGTTCAAAAGTTCGTCTCTGTACAGTTTATAATGTTTCTTTCCGTAAGGATCCTGCCAACAGTGCGGCCCTAACTCACACGACCCGGGACAGCGTATTATCATATAGACATGCCTCCAGGCCGCAGGCTCTCCAGTTAGTTCCTTCTCCGTGTTGACCTCCCGATCAAGATCTTGAAGCATACCCTGGGTGGCAGAAGAAGTGCCTCGTTTGTCAGTTGCCCTGCGACTGGCTGTAGAGCCTTAGTTGTCTTCTATATAGTTGAACGATATCATAAGTTTCAATTTCTTGCCGGCAAGAAAGTGATAACCCCATTCGAGAAGCTGTTTCTCAATACCAGGCCAGTCAATATCTGTCTTACCAAACTGTCGAGTAAGTTTGTCACGCCGAGGAACTGTCACCACAATGGATGTGTCGTCTAATGCAATCTTTTTGTGCGGATATTTGAGGCATAGCTTCTCTCTCAATTTTGGTTGGAAGAACAGCCTCCAATAAAACCCAGGGGCAAGAACCAGATCTTGTTCTGTATCCTTAATCACGGTCTTAGTGTTAAGAGTAACCTTCCACTCAATCCAATAGTGAATACAGGTTGGTGGGTCCTCATCATAAGCCTTTCCTTCAACCCAGTCTCCGTATTGGAGGAGCGGCAGTTTATCTGTGCGGGAAACGCTTGTTTGAGGAGCGGGGTACTCAAAGAGGGACGGAGAATTGGCGTTGATAAGGCTAAGCTTTGACGGCGAGGAGGGGGTACGACCGAAGTTTCCTGGGGTTGGTACATACTGTAGCGACTCATCCTATCGCCACGACTCGTATTGGTAAGTACCATTATCATTTTCAGGGCTAAATAAGTTCGAGCTCATCTCTTTCAGTGATCGAGACTCCTGTAGTTAGCAATATCTGGTCAAATCTCGCATCCTACGCTGCCTCAGCAGCTGTTGCTCACCGGCGAACAACAGTTAGCAAACAACAGCTGCGGGCGAAGGAAGATTCTGAATAACACAACTGTCTTATTCTGTCACATCTGACAATAGGAAATGTACTGTCACCTATCGACCGTACGAGTTGCAAGGCAGAGATATGTGGATGCCAGAAAGGGGAAGTTGATGCCACATGGCACATCTGCGAGGAACCAGGAACAGGAGCTTCTTGGCTCCCCTGAGATCTACGGTGCCGGGGTGGGGGGTTCCATGCTCTTCCATGGATATCTCCCGTGGTTATGCACCGCTGTCTGGCTTAATACATGGTTTACGTAACTATTCCGCAACATCTTGTACTATACCAGTGGAATTATGTAGATTCATAAGCCAAATACATAGGTGCATAAATTAATACGAAATTTACAGCCTTCCTCATTTGCAAGCGGGTAGCTCTCTATAACTTCCCGACTAACTTCTTGGCAGTGGGGCTTGAAAACAATCGTCATGTGTTAGAAGGTCAGAGGGATTTCGAGATCCCCTGTAAGAACAAACAGACAACACTGGCTAGAGAATAGTCTTAACCGGAGATCACGAGCGATACAGAGAACCTATACATCTGGAAGAGGCTGGCAACTGGATCCTATAGCAGCAACAGCTACTAAGGGCCCAGCTAGCCGATATTTCCAGATGAAGGTAGGACATGCAGCTATCGGATCATATCTATACCGCATAAAGTCTCGGGAAAGAGCGACCTGCCAAAACTGCCAAGCTCCTAGGGAAACAGTCTCTCATATACTGATCAGCTGCAGACAATGGCGACGGCAACGAGAGGTACTATATACAGCTCTAGATAGAGCGGGAATAGCGAGACCTTCCGTACAAGAAACCTACCCAGAAAGCAGGCTCTTTAAGGAGCCTAGAGCTACTAAAGCCCTACTGGACTTCATAGCTAATACAGGCACAGCTCTTTCTGGAAAACAATACCAGAAGGACCAACACAGAGCAGAGAGAGACAATGAAAGAGGCCTAGAAGCTCTAGAAGAGGCTGAACGGACCGGAGAAGGCTCACAGGAAGGGTAGCCTGGTCACACCTAGGCGTTACCCACCCTGCTAGAATCCCAAGGAGAGCAAACATGCTCAAAGGCCCTGCGCAAGAAGGCGATATGGGGCGAGGAAAAGGAACAGAATGTAATTAAAACGAGGGAATAGCCCTAGGAACTGATAGGGGCCTGAGGCCTAGCCTCAGGCCGACGACACACGGTCTGTCATAGCCCTAGGGGCTCGGTATGGACAATAAACTTGATTAAATAATAATTATTAATAGCAGTTAACCCATGTTCGAAGCAGCTGGGAGAACTAATATATAGAGAAGAAATTCTTTCGATAAATTATTCTCCCACTCCTCCAACCGCTTTTTCTCTTCCACGGCAAGGAGCGGCCTAGAGCGATCACCATCCTATGAATGGTCCTTGGACGCAGGGGCAGGTGTCCGCGTCTTGTAAAGCTCCACCTTCGACGTATTTCGCTGTGTTTAAAGACGACGAATCACGAGCCTTGGCGCCATCCAACCCCGACGAATTTGTAAACAGGCTGCACTCCGCCGACGCCTGGACTCCGATTAATCGTGTGATAGAGTATTTGGTATGAGAAAACACACTGACTGGGTAGGGACAGTAGCCTGCGGTTATGTTATCTGTACCTACGGTGAATGACCGGACAACCAAATATACAAAATCCGTGCTCTATCAGGGTGAAGTGATCGGGCTATCCCTTGTCTGATGTCTTCTTCAGAAGATTTAATAACTGCTGAGACGGGTGCCGAAGAAAGCCCAGCAACAGAGAAAAGGTCTATTGACGTACAGTGGTCTCTATCTGTGACCGTGCCATTGGATTGGAGAACAATCATTTCGGGGACACGAGGTGTCGAACGGGCTACGCGTTACCTGCTTGGGAATTGGCTTGCAACTTCGAAGATAAAAAGCTTACTGCCGCTGCACCAGCTACACTTCTCGTTGAGAGGAGTGAAAGTTATTCTAGACACAAATCCATCAGGTGCTTAGCACCCATGCTGTCATTCGCTTAGATACATGGAGGGAAAGTAAAGAAATCGGAGAGGGAATACCCTAGGAAAAAGTACCATCGAGGTTGATTGGGTTTTCGGAAGTCCCATCAGAATGAGGAGAAGGAGGCTGAGGAACTTTATAGGTGCATCGCACCCCGAGCGCGGACGCTACCTCCAATATGTCCATCCGCAGATTATGAAGGCGAAGATCAAATTGCACCCTACTAAGCTCGTCTACACCAGCTTTCTCTGCATCCCAAGAGCGGGACGCGATGTCGACGGCGTTGTCGAGGTCCTGAAAGTCCCGTGGGCGTAGTTCCTCGAGGGCAGAATGGAGGGGGTCCTCGGACAGCCCGTACTGGTCGAGGAGGGCAGATAATGCGTGGTTGTGCATAACAGTGATGAGAATATTGGAAGACGACATTGTGACCTGAGCATGAGATACTATGATTAGCAGAAGTTCTCGACAAGTGAATTTGGAAATAACCTGCTTCTGGAGTTCCTCAGGGCGATGGGGGAAGAAAGAAGCGGAATAAGGAGAGGTGCGATTAAGGGCTATTTATTTAGCAGGCCTTACCGATGACTCGTGCGGACAGGCCTAGGCCATGATGGGATATCGGCTGTTATACGGCTTATGGGCATAGGCCTGTGTGACAGAATGTCAGTATCCACCATCTAGTGTATCAGGGAATAGGCCTAGATGACTACAGGACCATATCCCCCTCTCTACCTTGCCGTTTCTCACCTTCTACCTCTGTTTCCTTTTCGGCTCCTCCACACATCCATGTCCATCTTCGACCCTATTTCTGTTTCTAACTCTCCTTCTATGTCTCTTTATTTGCCATTTAACGAACGGAGGTTGAGCATCGAACGTACAAGGGCAGAACCCTGAGTAAAAAGCTTGACGAGGGTATCAACTCTCCTGGCGACGTCTTTTCCTCGACCGAGGCGCCTTCTATCGTGTTATGCTCTGTGTCTTTGATTATCGGGTCTCCTTTATAGAAGCTCTTAAAAGTCCCATTTCACAAAGAGAGGGAAAGAAGCCAACCAACACTCAAATAGGGTTGCGTTAGAGCCGCCTGGCCGGTGATTGAGAACCACCGAGTCGCATGCTTGTTTGACCAACAAAACAAGGTGCTTGCTTTTTCGTTGATAACTCAAGTAAATTATGCAGACAGGTAGTTGAGACATCTAGCAGTAAACAACACCTCGAACTTCGTACAGTTACCGAAACTTAATAGCGTACAATCTGGGAATGCGGGAACCTGAACGCTACCTCCGTTGAGTCAATGGCATCATCGCCTTTTCAATCTTGTCTAATGTAGGCTTGCGGGATCTAATACCACAGGGGCCTAAAGAGAGATAGGGAGTGCTATTGCTATGGGTAGTATACTTTACAGTTAGTCTGCCCAAAGCATTGATCTAGCTGCTTAAGCCCCAGGGCTACAATTGTGACCCCAGATACGGATTATGACTAGGTATCGGCCGAGCTTGTTCTTACATTTGTCATTCAATATCAGGAAACACAATGCGCAGTATGGAACTAGATCGGTAACGTAGGATTTCATGATCTAGAGGGGTAATTTCCTCCAGCATTATCTTGAGTGATCGACGTGGATGTTGCTGCATTTCGCACAAGAAAAGACTTGAGGTATATTTAGAAAGAAATATAGCTTTTTAGCCAGGAATAGCAGATTTCATGTTCTAACCAAAAAAGTTGATCTGCAATCCTGTAACTATGGTCTGGGCTTAGATAACAAACTCAAAATAAAATGACTAACAACAGAAGAACGAATGGGGGAAGAATGATAGATGTACAGATCTGTAGTAAATCAACACAGGTCTCCATTCTACACTGCTCATTGTCCTGCGATAGCAGGGATAAACTGGAGGAATCTTCATAGGCAAGATCATCCTGCTCTAGACTAGGAAAGGTTTCCTGCGCTTCTTGTTCGTTGATACCCCCAACAATTCCACCCTTGTGATTAAAAATTGCTAGCTGATGATTCAAGGATTGTACTTTTCGTTTTCCTACTATGAGCTCTTTGCTCATTTCCTTTGGAATCTGATAGCATTAGACAATTTAGCCCGAAGCCTCTCAACCTCGTTTGCTAGCTGGTAATCTGGATGTACTTCGTTGTAATATATCTCAGATAATTCGTCTCTATCTGCAAGAAGAGGCATGACCTGTTGAAAATAAGTATTAGTTCTCAGTATTATAGGTTACATAGTTACCGAGCCTTCGTTCATTGTGGTGTAGCAGAGCGAGCAAGCGAATTTGTTTCAGGAAAATTTACTTTGGAATATTAGTCGCTATATATATCTAATTAAGTATCTACTACACTAAAGGGAGGTCGCAATAGCGATAGTTCTAAGGTCTTACGAAGAGCTTAGGCGACAATAACTACTTCCCAAAGTGAGTCAATTCGTTCATGTCTAAGTCCTTGAAATTCCAAGTAGGTCGGTATTATCAACGATTCTAGTGCATAGAAAACGGTGAATCGAAGCCACTCGCAGACAAACGATACCGTAGAGACTCTATCGGATTTCTTCCTAATTGAAGTTGAAGGCATAACCTTAGAAAAAGGCTTACCTGCAGGGAAAAAAAATGAATATGTTGAATAGATAGCATAGGTAGGAAGTGGTTCAACACTAGCAAACCATCACTTGTGGTACAAAAAGGCCAGCATATTCTATCTTGTAACGGGTAATCAAATTCGCTCAACAATATAGCTAAACCTAGAGTAGACGCGACTGTATCATGTCCAACACCTTATATTGATACAGAATAGCAATATTTGGAAGGAAATAATACTTACTATCGGCCAAAATCTACTATCATTAAAGCGATCTGTTTACAACTAATTCGTTCTATTTCTAGGGAACATTGCAAGTGTATGCATCATCCCGTATGCCTGTCAGTCTGGTACTGAGTTTCGAATGGTTCTATTTTGGATGGTCAACTTCCTGCTTGTCAGCTGTGTTAAGTTCAATATGCAACTCATAACTAGAGCTGTGCTAGCTATTGTTTCCTTGCTTTATTATATTCCAGGATCGGCTGCAGAGAGTGACACGCTTCAGGTTCGCGAGAGTGACGGCTATAAGTCAATTGCTTATTTTGTGAACTGGGTTTGTGACTTTAAGCTTGCACCCGAAGCATAGCACTCATACCATTGTTTTTAGGCAATCTACGGCCGTAATTATCATCCCCAAGACCTCCCGGTGAATCACCTCACACATATACTATATGCATTTGCCAACGTACATCCGGAAAGCGGAGAGGTCTACATATCTCTCTGACACCTACGCCGATCTTGAGAAACATTATCCTAATGACACATGGTCGGACTCCGGCCAAAAAGTCTACGGATGTATTAAACAGCTATATCTTCTGAAGCAGCAGAATCGCAACCTTAAAGTGCTACTATCTATTGGGGGTTGGACATACTCGAAAAACTTTGCCCAACCGGTAAGCTCAGACACAGGACGGAGGCGGTTTGCAGAGACTTCCATAAAGCTAATCACGGACCTCGGCTTAGATGGATTAGATATTGACTGGGAGGTAATACAACTACTTCGCTTAGTCTGATGTTGACTTACAACGAGGTTACATATAGTACCCACTATACGACCAAGATGCTGGAAACTTTGTTCTCCTGCTAAGAGAGACCAGGCAGGTGAGGTCAAAATACGACTGGAAGTTCCTGACTATCTGACGTAAATGCAGGCTTTAGAGAAATACAGTGCGCGTTACTCCGACAGAAAACCTTTTCTTCTTACAGTTGCATCTCCAGCAGGTAAGCAAATGAGATATCGAAATACCAGGAAAGGTTTATCCCAATAATAATGATACTCTTTCAGGAAGGGAAAATATTGATGTTCTCCATCTAAAGGACATGGACGAGCAAGTTGATTTTTGGAACTAAATGGCCTATGATTATTCTGGTTCATTTAGCAGCGAAGCCAGCTATTAGGATAATATCTATTACGATAATAACAGCAGTACACCTTTCAACACACACGATGCGATAAAGCAATATATAGTAGCAAGAGTCAATCCTAATAGGATAGTTCTAGGCATGCCTCTTTACGGGCGGGCCTTTACTAACACAGATGGGCCTGGACAGCCATTTACAGGGGTCGGGCCTGGAAGCTGGGAGGACGGTATCTGAGATTATAAAGCGTTACCACGGCCAGGGGGAAAGCAGCATATCCGGCATGATATTATCGCAAGTTCTAGCTTTGATCCGGAAAAGAGGGTTTTTATCAGTTACGATGTTCCGGACATAACCAGGCAGAAAGTTGATTATATCAAGACTGAAGATTTAGGTGGTACAATGTGGTGGGAGAGCAGTGGTGACAAGCCTGGCAGTAACAGCCTCATCGCAACAGTACGTCCCCTGTAACCAAAATCCAGTGTCTTTTCTGATTATCTTGTAGGCAGCGAATGAGTTTTGGAAGTTGAGCGGGTTAGAGCAAAGCGAGAATACCTTAGACTATCCCATATCCCAGTATGACAACTTGCGTGTCAGAGGTAAGCTTACAGCAGAGTCAGATACTTGGGTACCTTTACCTTGCTCTATGTAGCCGACCGATCTAGTAAGAATGCCCAGGGCAGGTTAAGGCCAGGCCTAAAAGGTTTCTGCAGGACAATGATACAGTGTATTTCAAAAACGGCGCCGGATCTTCTATGTATTCCTCCATTGTGCCTGAGGTTTGACGGTAGCACAATGTAGGAATAGTGTCAGAATTGTGACAGTCTACAAAGAAGCCTAGTAAAAGACAAGTTTGTTTATGACTCGTAGTCAAGGAATTTTCCCATAGGGAGGAAAGGCTATCTAGGAGGGAGGACAACCCCTGTGACTACACGGAACCATAGAAGGGAGAGGACCTTACCAACGTTAACTGGGAGGACTAGAGCGTCTGGGAGGTTCCTGTTGAACCCCAGGGGTATGACCAACTGCCAATAAAAGATCACGCAACGCGCCACGTTATTCGGCCAGTAGAGCTAAATACCTCGGAATCTGGCTCGATAAGACTCTCTCCTTTAATACCCACTGCACCAAGGCGGTAGCGAAGGCGAATGGGGGCCTCGAGGCTCTACGGAGCTCTCTGCGTCCACATGGGGCACATCCCTGCTGAACATGCGGACCATATATCTGACCGTAGTAGTCCCGCAGATGCTCTACGGGGTTGCTGCATGGTAGAGCCCTACCAGCGGTCGTACTAAGTATGCAAAACAGCAGAAGATTATCAACGAATTCGAACGAATCCAGACGCGGGCAGCAGTACTTATTAGTAGAGCATTCAAAAATACCGCTTCTGCAGCCTTAGGGGCAGAATTGTTCCTGCCTCCGGTCCGCCTGCACATGCAACAGATAATTGAGGAGGCCGCATTCCGGATACAGACCGGACCGGTTATAGCCTGTCCCTGGGGGTTGTTAGTCAGGAAGAGAAGCTCAGCGGAGATAAAACGGTCAGGGTGGTCCCCCATGGAGGCGCTAAGATGGAGGAAGGGGGGGCCCCTTGTCACGGGTAGGTGCGCTTCTACCCGCCAAGACCGCTTAGTAGGACGGTTTGTAAAAAGACCAGAATACCAAGTCGTTGACTTGGTACGCGCATCGCTCTATATAGTGGTTCTTGGTCAGTTCGTCACACCCCTATGGACCGGAGGCCGAAGTTTGGCTACGTAAGAGTCCCGAAAGGCGCACGTGCTCGCCCCATGGGACCTCCCACTTAACTGCGTGATCGAGGGAGCGGATAGCGCAATCCAGGAACACGGCAGGATCTGTCAGGAGAGCCGGAGGCAGATCTGGTACTCTGACGGCAGCGGCTTTAACGGCCACGTAGGGGGTGTCGCAGTCTCAATTCGGGCCGGGAAGGTCCGCAAGAAATACCTAGGAGCTGCGGCTGACTCCACTGTGTACGTGGGAGAGCTAGAGGGGGGCCACCCTGCGACACCCTACGTGGGGCGTAGTAGTCCATGGCATCCCAATCAAGTCAATCCAGGACCTGAGCGAGCTGGCTACTCGACGAGAACAGGGAGGTTTGGAGCCAGAAAACCGATATCAAACGCGTGGCCTGGCTTACCTATCCTTCCAATCAAAAGAACCAAAAATCTTCCGCCCTCATTGTTGAATTCTCTGACCCGAGACATGCAAACGAGGCAATCATGAAAGAGACTATTTGGGCTAGCGATAACCGGACGACTGTTCTATATGATAGAAACGCGCGAATTCAGCGATACTTCAAATGTATATAGACATAGGAATCGTTTGATCGAATAAAATAACCTGCGGTCTCTGTGCCGAGGGCCAGATGTTAGCTAGTATACAATGTTCTTTCGAACCGCTGTGCAATAAAGCCTGTTTCTCCTCATCACTAGGGATAGGGGCCACAAATTAATAATACATCATTCAACCCGAAAATATCAGACAGCGGCTTGGCCAATCTCAGCTTCGGACTGGATCGACGTATCGAACCGAGGCTGGGACGTTCAGCTTCTTACCTCTCACATGAGAACATTAAATTGTAGAAAGCATAAGAGAGGATGACTTACAGCCCTGCAGAGACAGTAACGTCTTGGTATTCCGATTTAAGTGCGAACCGCTAACACATCGCCGAAGCCTTGAGCGAGCAAGTTTCCCGGACATACCCGCATGTTTTCGTAAAGCCTATTTATATCCCTTTTCAGCAGAAAGCAAACTAAAGGCCCCGAAGGCCCTAACATATAACACGTGCAATATTTTCAGATGACCGCGGCGAGCCAACCGCCGGAAAAGTTGGGACAGGTCATGGACAAGCATTTTTAGGTGCCATACGGAACGCCAAAGTAAAGGGTACCAGAGTAATCGGAGAATATTTGTCACATACCAGAACAGCGAAAAGTATGGGGCAAGTGGCGGAGTGCATCGGTCGCTTGTCGCGGGCGTCCTTCATTTTATCCCAGATTGACGTCCGCCTCATAAAGAAATGATCCCGGGTATATCAAGGGTATCCGCTCTGTTTTGAGCGTCCCCTCGGGGGCTCTGGAGTTTCTCATTCTGGTTGAAAGACTAGTGCATGTATGATCATACAGGGGAGAACGACTATTGTCTTCTAGAATGAAAGGACCCGGCGTCATTCTTCTGATATCCCTAAAGCGTTCTTGCGGAACCATGGCCAGTATATATCTCTAGCCCATTTCGTCAGACGCTGCAAGCCCCATACCGCACTGTAGACCCCCAAGGGGGTTTTTGTAGACCCAAACACAGTATTAAACTACAGCAGTGTTTTCAGACTAACCCTCGTGGTTGCTACAAAGCTCCATTCATCCCCTTTCACGACTACGGCTGGTAGAAAAGGCAGTTCGTCAAAAGAACCACCCGACTGAGCCACGAGATCCTCGAGCAGTTTCCACTGGGTAGCGTGCCAGGTACCTAACTGTAACTCGGCCGCTGCCAGCTTTTCTCCCGCCTGATTTTTGGTCTTGATGCTGACAGCGATCGGCCAGTTGCGGAGAGAATAGTAATCCGTGTAATTGATCGTTCGGCAGGGCAGATTTCCGCAGGTACGTTTAATAGCGTTGTCCGCAATACCATCCATTTCCGGCGCCACATAGATGCATAGGTCGATCTTCTTAAATTGCGAACATGCCGAGAGGTATTCTCAGATGACCTTTGCGTTGGTGCAAGGTACCATGCCAACGAGCTGATCACGCCTCCGCGAGCTGTACACCGCCAGCTTTAAGAGAGGATAATGAACCATTGTGTTTCACGACGGTTCAGATTGGAACATGAGCCGGCATGCTTTAGCCTCTTCAAGCAGTGAGACAATGTTATCGAGCGACAGCGTCGGTCCGAGTTGATCACGATCCGAGAGAGAGAAAAATATGTGTTTTTTGAAGAGATGGAAGCTGCGGTCTTGTCTCCCTATTTCGTCTATCCTCGGCTGCAGACTTCTTGTCATAATACCGATTCTAACGTTGCACCCCTCGAGCTCCTCAAGTAAGCTCGACAAAGCGGGGGGCAATTCGGATCCGTCAGGGATATAATCCTGCTCTCGAACCCTCCGGAGCTCAGTTCCATGGCTGACATTTGTTTTGAGGGAGAGGATCGACTAGAGATTTCCGACTGTCCTGATTGCGATTCAGTGCGGGCCGGCAGGGAGGTCCCTGGTGATGCGATCTAGGGATATCTTCGTTCCCTCCGACTTCTTGCTCTTGAAGTCTGATCGACATCGATCAACCCCCCCCCCCCCTTCCATCTCTCCCTCCTCGATCCTCTGCCTTTTTGACGACGGTGCTGCGTCGCTCACCATAGTTTGGCGTCTCTTGCTCTCTTGCGTGATTCGGGCGGCGATGGCAGCTGGCGCTGGCTCTTGTTTGTCAGAAGTCGGTAGTTGGTTGCAGAGGTGATAGTTGATGGGCCGCAGGCCGAGTCATCCAGATTGCGTATCCACTTAATGATTTCTTCCTGCTTCATAGCTGGTGCATCATTGCGGGCACGTACCTGGAGAGCTATTGGAAGTAGTAGGTGTGCGGGAATGGTCATGGCTGAGAAGTCATGTTTATTTGGAGGATCACGCACGGGCAAACGAGATCTCCGAGCCAACAGTCGCTGACTCAGCATTTGGTTCCACGAGTTCCGGGAATCGAAACAACCACATAATGTCGAAACCGCATTTTTGAAATTATCCCATTCTATTTGGCTCAGTCCGCATCCTAGCGGCCCAAGTACCAATAAAGTATGGCGGGAAACCACTCTGCGCCGCAGCTGGGCCTCCAGCTGCCCACCACACACGATCACGCGATTCCTAAAGCGAAGCAGATCGAGCCCCAAACTGGGGTATGATCGGACAGCTCCTCGACAGTTTTAAAATTATCTCCAAAAGACCAAGGACTTCCCGACTACCAACCAACTGGCCGGAATGCACGCGACGGCACGTGCACAGGAGGCCCTCAGCAAGGATATTACCGAAATCAAGAACATTCTTGCAGCCTGATCAGTAAAGCTGACGCCCCTACCTACGCGCACATTGTCAAAGACCCGCATATACTGAAGCCCGCTACCCAGACTAAGTCCACGAGAGACCTAGAGCTGCATCCCAACCCCGCAGGCAGCCGCTAAGGAACACACCAAGAATCATGACAACGCAAAGGTATTTTTAGATGCCTGCTTTCCTCAAATGGACGAACCTCAAGAGAGCTCGCCTACTGGAATAACTCTAGAACTCCCGTGGTAACCTATTACTGAGCTGGAAATTCAGCGATTCCTTCAAGCAGCAAATGAATCTACAGCACCGGGCAAAGATAGACTGCCGACACTAGTGCCGAAGCGTATTTAGCGTATTCAGAATTCTCTTCAGTTCTTGGCACCCGCACCGCGAAAAAAAAGCGCAACTTTCTCGCCAGAGCACTAAAATCGCCTTATATCTATGAAATCGACTCATTTTGACTTCCTTTTTAGATCATTTTGAAGCTATTCGTGTGACCATTGTTCCTCTATTACGAAAATGCCTCCTAAGCGTGCACCTCCCGCTACAGAACGCGGTCTTCCATATGACCTGCGGAAAACGCGTATTCCACGCGTTGATCGTGGTGGTTAGCTGACAGTGAATGTGTCAAGTCCTCAAAATGTATCTGCTGTAATGCGTAGAATCTTTCTCTTCCTTTCCTCCTCTTCAGCAGACCTGCTCTCATTTTCCGTGGGTACAAAACTTCCATTTCCCCTCATTCTTTGGTGTTTCGTTTCCTGGTTAAAAAATGGATGTCTTCGCCATCCTTTTCTAAATGAGCTTAATTTTGTTCACTTTTCCTGTGTGCTCTCGGTATATTTTTTTTTATCCTTCTTTGCTTCTTACCTTACTGACTATTCAGACGTTTTAGATCCACCATGCTACCTTATTTCGAAGAAGACCCTGTTCTCCTAATACAGTGATTCTCGAAATCAGTCTGACCTTCAAACACTTGTCAATTGTTTCTTGGCCCCACCGCCAAGAACTTAGCGTGACTCTTTTATTGAGCGAACCGTCTTAAAATGAGGGCGGCTGTAATATTCTTTTCATGGAAAACATAAAACTTATGCGGTATTTTATTTTTATGTACATTTACTCGAATCTTTGATCGATCCTAGTATGAATACAAGATGTCGAACAACTTGCTCCAAACAACTCGTGCGATGATCCACACTTGCAGGCGGCAGATTGACAGAAATAAGAACTATATCCATCCTGGTGTACTGTACAGTACTTGGCAGTGGGTATCTCGTGGAGATGGGGGCAGCTCTTCTCTCCTTTGTCCAATCAAAATGAGCCCGGTTGTGCCAAGTATAATTATTCTATCAGTCGTCGCTTGAGGGAGTTTTGGATTTTTCAGAGCCCTTTTCGCTAACTAAACATCAATCTGATACTGCGAAGAGCCTTCTTGACCTATTTATTGAGGACTATGGCGTCGAACGAGAAACGGAAAGGGGCTATAAGCCTGCGAAGCTGATACACGAGACGCTTCAATATGTCATTTCTAGGGACTCGTTCTTGATATTTGTCTTTACATTTTTGCACGAGAACTTGACTGATATGACGTCTAACATGACGCTGGCGTTATCGTACTTTGGGGATTTCGCTTCTTGGGTACCAGCAGCGCGCAATAAGTTGATGCATGCTCTTGAAGAGTTTGCCAACTACATGGTGGCGCAGTTCTTCCTTCCGCGTACGTTCTTAATGCTCTATAGTACCAGTTAACTTCTAACTCAAGCAATCCAGTCAGAGCGTCGTCCGTCAAAACCCCGCAACTAACGCCTACCTCGTTGTCAACCATGCTCCCGTCGACCCCCACTAGCACAAAACAACGCATATCTCTCCTGAGGCATGACTGTCTCGTCCGCGATCGCCATCGATGCGTTGTGAGTCGGAAGTTTGATATAGCGGAAGCTAGAAGACGCCTTAACAGGGGCAAAAGCTCTACAGATGACGACGGGAAGCTCCTTGAGTCGGAACCACGCGGCAACTTCCAGTACCTGGAAGTCGCCCATATACTGCCTCATTACCTTACAAAGGTTGCTTCGGGGGATGAAAATATGGTACGAACAAATGCCGAGCGAAGATACGCTAACTATTCTACAATTATATCGTCATTTCGGGGATGACTTGGAGGGTTCCGTAAACTTTAACACAAAGACTGTAATTAAAGATACAGAACAAGACCTGTGTGACGGTCTACAAGGGAGCTATTGGAATTTGAAGGTTTCGTATTGTCTAGTAATCTGTATGCAGAATCGAAGCTCAAAGAAGGTCCCCTCATCTTGATTTAGATGATCGAAACGAAGCTATTTAACATGCAATATGACTACGTGGCTTCTTGGAAATCGGCTTATCTTGAAGCCATGAAATGCCGTCAGAGTTGATCTAGACGACAAGCGGTAAGGTATTGAATCCTGGCGGTAAAATTGCCCCATATCCGCTAACAGGAGCTTAGTATAAGACAAGCCTATTCTTTCTTATGCTCCAGCAGGGCCGCGACGCCGATACTTCACATCAACATAGGCATAGATGTAAAACTCTCTACTATTGAGAGAGTTGACTGGCAATGATGCCGTCCACGGATGGTCATTTTGGGTATCTCCAACACTCCACTGCATGTCTCCATGGATGATATGGAGCTCAGTGACCTGACGAATAATGCCCATATAGGGCAGCGGGCCATCACGAACGAGCTGGACGCGAATACAGTCGTAAACCATGCCCGAGTGTAGGTGCACACTCATTTTTTCTGGCTTTGAATCGCCATAATTGGTGTCAATTTCTGCATCATCGAAGAGGTGGATGAAGAAAGTCGAGGTATCAACGCCTGCAATAAGAGCCGACCGGTTCGAGCAAATACCACACGCCTGTTAGATAAATTGATCAGAATTAGTCAATATGATAGATTCTAAATGATTTACCATGATGTGATACACTAGATGGCCAACTGATATTAGTATGATAGACATAGACTATAATAACACAGTAATTATAGGCAGCTTACAGTAGATGATGACAGAACAGGTACGTAATTGAAAGGTGTAGACTGCTACGAAGCTCTCGCTCTGCAGCGGTCCTATCTAGCTACGGCCGATCCACTGCGGGTCAGCTGACATAAAGGCTAACCAGAACAGGTAGGTGATAAGCGATACCCGATCTGACAGATGACAGTATGTAGTAGTACCTACAGACATCCTGTGTCTAAATTACCACGCCTAATTGATATCTACGATATCACAAAAAGCTAGTCAAGATCATAATATAGTCAAAGCGTGTAAGGCACTGACCTCAAGAAACGATGCGAGAATCTGTAGATAAAACGGCGATAGAAGCCCGCAAAGTTAACGAATGAGAGGACATCTTTAACCGAGGAAGGGGTCTGCCACTCGCGAATGGCAGCTACCTTCTCCGGATCCATGCGAATGCCTGCAGTAGTGACGATCAAGCCGAGGTACTTGATTTCCCGGGTATCAAAGTCGCATTTATCGATATCGACCTGTAGGCCGCGGTCCCGCAGGCGCCTAAGAACTTTCAAAACATGCTCAGTATGTTCTTTCTCGCTATCACTAAAGATCAGTACGTCGTCCAGATAGGTATATATCTGTTCACGAATCATGCCGGGCACGTCCTCATGGGACTCTAATCTCTTCCCACTCTGCACATATCTGACCATGCCCAAAAATTTCATCTCTGTAGAGCTTGTAGTGTTTCTTCCCGTAAGGGTCCTGCCAGCAGTGTGGCCCTAATTCACAGGATCCAGGACAGCGCATTATCGTATAGACATATTTCCAGGCCGCAGGTTCTCCAGTCAATTCCTCCTCCGCGTTGACCTCCCGGTCAAGTTCTTGAAGCATGCCCTGAGTAGCTGAATAAGTACCTCGTTTGTCACCCGCCCTGCGACTAGCTGGGGAGCTTTGGATGTCTTCTATATAGTTGAACGATATTATAAGCTTCAGTCTCTTGCCGGCAAGAAAGTGATGACCCCATTCATAGAGCTGTTTCCCAATTTCAGGCCAATTGATATCAGTCTTAGGAAATTGTCGATCAACTTTGTTAACCCGAGGCACTGTCAACATAATGGACGTGTCGTCTATTACGATCTTCTTGTGTGGATATTTGGTCAAGGCTTGCCTTGCACCTTACGATGCCTCAGCAATTGTTGTTCGCCGGCGAACAAGCTGCAGGCGAAAGAAAAGATAAAATTCTGGTCAACAGAACTGTCTACAGTTGTCTTTTTCTTCTCACATCAGACAGTATAAACCATATTATACGCCTATTGATGCTTATGGGTGGCAAAGCAAAAATTGTTAAGGTATGAGTACAGGATGGTGAAGCTACATGGCAACAACATGCCAGGAACCAGGAACGGGCACTGCCCGGCTTCTGGGTCACATGAGATCTTCCGGGCGTTGTAGGCTTCCATGATCTTCCATGGAGATCTGTCGTTGTGCACGGATGATCGGCTTTAAGCATGCTTAATTATACCAGGCACAACCACCTCACTGCATTTTTAATTGGTCAGAAGCGAAGCACTACCCCCCTTTCCACGAGATACCAGATTTAGCCACTGCCAAGCACAGCAGGATGGATATAGTTCTTGCCTGTCAAGCTGCCGCCTCCAGATGTGGATCATCGCGCAGGCTGTTTAGAGCAAGTTATTCAACATCTTAAAATGAGGCATATCACCCATACTAGGATGTCAACCGTATGTAACCGCTAGTTACATAGGAGACCTTCCTATTCCGGATATCGGTATTGGTAACTACCGATTCCCGAGGATTATGCAGAGTTTTCTGTTATTTCCATGGTTCAAAAGTTATATCTCTTTCAGCTGCCTTTTTAGGCTAGATTGCTTATTATTCTTTATGTATTTAAACCATCGTTTGCAGCTAGATTGAAAGAATAAGACCTTCATCATTCGATATTCCTATGGGTAACATTACTAGCAATTACGCCTAGAGAGACGGCCAACATAGGATTGATCAAACATTTGAGTAAATGTACGCAAGAATAGAATACAGCATATGTTTATGTTTTGTATGAAAAGAATATTACGGCCCTTATTTTAACGCGGTTCGCCCAATAAATTAATTACACTAAGCTCTTGGCGGTGGGGCCAACAAACAATTAACGCGTGTTTGGAAGTCAGACCAATTTCGAGAATGACTGTACTTAATTCCTTACTTCGGCCTTATGATCTCAGCTTACGCTCAAGCAAATTACAATATAATCTTTTGACTCTTCCGCAGCTTGTGGACCTGCGTAATAGTATGTTAGAGATGTTATAATGGATGGGATACATAGAAGAAGAGAGCCCTATTGGTCTAAGGGCATGGAGTGCCTTTACTCAGCGTCGTGTCTGGGTAATGTTTGCGATCAACGCTAAACGGACTGAGCTGGACAAATGCGAAGATGGGCAGGGCGAGAATGAAGACCACCAGAACGAGCCGGCGGACCAAGATGAGTAGGAGGAGGAGGAGGATAATGATGATGATAGATATACTAGGGAGGCCGAGGAACATGACTAAGATGATAATAATGGATGGCCATTACTGTTAGTGATCGACAGCTTCTTATCGGTACAGGGGTCAGATATCGATCCAATACATAATATCTATTTTCTACGTCTATCGCAGATGCTCAAGTATTGATGTTTCTTTTCCCCTAGCTTTCTGTCTTTATGTTTTCATTTCACATGTTCCATATCTTGCTATTACTGGGGTTTCAATGCCATCGGAACCATTTCTTTAGACCAGCAAGCCAAGCAGTTTGGACAGGTGCCTCTCGCATGAAGTCTTTATCGAATTCAGTTGGCTCAATAGCGAACCAACTAGGTAAGTGTCGCATCTCTCTGTCAAAACAACAATTTCGACGCGAACCTAATTTTTGAAATTACTCAACCACCACGGCGGCTACGGCCTCTAGAATCAGCCAGTTGACTATCAACCCCAGCCGCCATCGATTGAGCCTAACTTAATAGGGGATATCGATATGGTTGGGGCGAAACCTTCGTATGGTCGGTGGCTAGCAGCTAGTGAGCTGATGATCGAATCGATCTTTGCAATTACTTCAGTTGTGCTAAGTTAATGTAGGCAGTCACTACTCTACAGTTATACTGGGGAATCGATTTCATACTTAATGTATTTAAATATTTTCTCAAAGATAAGACTGGTACTCATCTGCATGGGTGGATGGATGGATGAATTCATACGCTGGCCCCTCCCCTGTCGACGATATGTAAATCACTATCGCTATCTCTCTTTCCTAACCGTACATGTAGGTACCACTCCATAAGAACAAATTTTAAGCCTTGTCAAGGCCTTTCTGGCTCCGTGCCGTAATTCCCTTCCTGGAGGTCCCTTTTTCCCGTAGTTTCAAAATTTACCGCATGCTTCTACGAAGGCCGGCGCGGCTCGAAGAGTGCTTTCTTGGGTATACATCCAGCGCCATAAGGCTGAATTAACGTCAAAACACGAGCAGCGTTTCGATTACCAACGTGCGAAGTGCGAGGATCCCAAGGTTATAAGCCGGTTGTTCGAATTAGTGAGGGATACCATACGAAAATATGAGATACTTGAACAGGCTGGTTGTAAAATGGATGAGACGGCATTTCAAATGGGGATGGCTTCAAATGCGAAGATTCTCTGCGGCTCTGAATCCCGTGAGACGAATGCTAGATCCGCACAGCCTGAAAATGTTGTGAAATGCACAGGGGAAGAAGGGCAGAATGACACTGTATCGACTATACGCACGTAGCCTACTAAGGAGCGAATGCCTTTTGCATGATAGGGCTCTTAATTCTCTTGCATAACGATTAATCTCTTCTTCTTCTGGGGTGTTGTCTGATAGATGAGGGGTAAGCTTCTCGGGGGTTCGGTTGTGCGGGCCAAGCCACTAGATCACGTAATCTTATAGATTCGTATCAGAAAATGGCAAATGAGCTACTTCTATAGCTACGGCTAACGCTATAGGTATCGCACAGCTTTCGCAGATTATCTTCGCGGGTAAGATGTAGTAGAAGAATTGGTTTGAAGCTCCTTCTAATGGCTGGTCGATTAGCGTAAGCGATAATTATAACGAATAATAATCTCGGTTTTGAACGCCTTCAATCCTTTGATACATATACGGCTTGAAAGACGGTGGGCCAGTATCGCCTTCTAATCCTTGAAGTCCGCGGAAGCCATTCAACGCTTAAATTCGATCGATTTCGCAAAGATACATCCATCAGCCCTTTATATATGCCGCTTCATTCATCCTACAAAGATTGAACAAATATGCTCTGATACGAATCTATGAGATTACGTGATCTAGCGGCTTGGCCCGCACAACCGAACCCCTGAGAAACTTACCCCTTTACCTATGATACAACACCCAGAGAGAAGAAGAGATAAGTCGTTATGCAAGAGAATTAAGAGCCCTATCATTCGAAAGGCATTCGCTCCTTAGTAGGCTACGTGCGTATAGCCGATACAGTGTCATTCTGCCCTTCTTCCCTTGTGCATTTCATAACAAGTCAGCTTTGACGATTATGCTAACGCCCTTGACCTCGATCAGATTGACCCATCCCAACCGAGCGAATCGTCGACCTCCCGCCGTTCTAGACCGGACTCAATGTTATATATGCTTTGTCAGTAGTGATTCAGATACCCTCATTACATCAGTTGCGTACAGATCTCCTTATAAGTTAATGGTCGAGAACTTTCGCCCTCGGCTACGACCAATGCGTTTCTAGGAAGAGGTGGTCAGGCCCAACCCCGTCCCTACGGAAGAATCCAAAAAATTGAGATACAATTTAACCCGGCTAGTGGGCTCGGTGGCAGCCAAAGAATTTCATGTAATGATATAGGAAAGACTCGAATACTCCTATTTAACAAACGGAGTGGCGGTAGTTCTGTTGCAAGTCCCTTATAATAACCCGACCACTTTGTAATACTATCTCTGCGAATCCAACATGAAATTCAATCCTGAGTTTATCACTCGTCCATCCATTCTCGCTCACGCTAATCCGATAGTCATCGGGAATATCTTCATACCACTTCTGTTGCTGCATTTTATCTGCAAAGATGATTTGTGGAGGTAAAACAACGCCTGCGGCACTAATAGTGATAATCGCCGTGATCCATTCTCGATTGCCTGGTTGCATTGATCTTGCATTACTTTCTCGTGATTCTGCGTCGCATACAGCTTTTGCAGTAGAGGCAACCCCCATTTGAAAACCCGTCTCATCCGCCTTCTGTTTCGTTGTTGCGCAATTTGATTCCTTTCAAGCGACCTTTTAGAGTGCTTATTTTGACGTCAAAAACGGCCGCGCAGGCCTGTTTAGAGGAGAACCAGCTTTTTTGAAAGGCCTCAGTAGCGAGCGTTAACTTCCTATCTCGAGATAGACCTTACACTGTTGAATTCCCTCGCTTTTGATAAAAATCTGAATACTGTAATAATAATAATGTACGAAACGCACATGTACCCGAGTATACTGGTAGCAGACAGGAATAATCAAAATCGATTATAGTCCGATCTGTGTTTAGTTGTGGTCTTAAAATATGAGTTCTAACTATACAAATCAGACTTATCGGTTCTAGACCAAAATATCGCTTTATACTCAAGGCCAGAAGCCGCTGGAAAACACTTGGCAGGCACTACTGCTGATTTCTGCGCAAATCTCCCATATCTAGGGAATAAAACCCACAA